TCTCTTACACTTCTGAAGCTATTCATTCCTGAAAAAGCAGGATTGCTTTTCAAAAGCCTCCCAGCAGACTGGCCAAGTCTGAGATTTTATTTCTTTGTTTGTTAGGTATTTTCAGGTTTCAAGGAAAAGAGATGTATTCTAGTTACCTCAATAAATATGAGTTTATTTTAAGGATTTCTAAGAGTTTATTTTAAGGCATAGCCTATCCTTATTGAACTGGAATATCATGCAAATTACAATATTCACTCTAGTGGGACAACATGTGATGAGTCAGCAGTATCTCTGATAGAAACGAGTGACATCCATTGCCCCTGCTCCAGTGGCTCAGCTTGTCTTCCCAGGCCTCCAGTCCCCTAATTCTACTATTAAATACTTTCCCCTACTCTCCTAGGGCTTCTGACTGCCTCCCATCTCTTGATTACTGCCTTATTGTTATATGTCTTTCTGTTCTGCCCACTCTGCTGTTTGTCTCTGTGTGTATCTCACACTCCAAGAAACTTGATCTGATTCATTCAGCCAACCACTTTTCAATCTAAAATATCCCTGATAGTCAGAGATCTCTTGCCAGATCTCAGGGGCCACTGGCTGTCCTGAAGAGGATGGCCTTAGTTGCCCACTATGTCCTGGACAGTCAGCTGTGTCCAAGTTAAACTCATTGCAAAATTCAGGACATGTTGCTCTATGCATTAGGAACTACTTGTGGTCCATTTTCTCAAGGGGGCAGAGCTAGTAGCCTGTCCAATACCTGTTTCAGAGATTTCTCAGAAGAGAAGAGAAAACAAAATTATCTACTTTTGGAACAAGATAATATAAATTCCATTGCAATTCTCATATTTATTTCTTGTTTGACTTTAGATGTCTCTTCTACTTGAGTGAAATGTACATTGACATAGGAAGGCGATAGCATTTAATGCTACTCTATCTATGATTTCTGACTTCAGGTTTTTTCCTTCCTTTGTTTAACCATGTTCCAGAATAGTAGAATATTAAAAGTTGTGTTTATGTGTAATCAGTGATTGCAAATGGTTTCTAGCTTAATGTTATAGCCATTCTTGGTTTTACCCTCCACCACCAACCATGTTCTAGAATGATAAGAATATTAAAGGTGGTATTTTTGTGTAGTCAGTAACTGTGAATAAGCTTTACCTTACTTTTTCTTCACATTTTCAAAAGAATTTATAAAATATGAAACAAAAATGTGAGAAAACAATAAGTAATGGGATAACTAGCAGATGGAGAAAAATCTCTTCAGTACTATTCACAATGACATATTTTAGTTGGCACTGATGATGCCAACTATAATAATGCTGTATTCTAGTGAATCTTAAATGAAGAACAAATGAAAAACATGTACTGAAAGTAATCTTTTTTTTTTTGCTTTAAATACCCTGTTCAAACTCTCTCTTTTACCCCAGGAAAGCAGAATTTATGCTGTAGCCAAATCAGGTATTCGAATGTCTGAGGCCTTCAATATGGAGAATGTTAATAAAAGTAAGTGCTTTTGCATGCCGCCACCTGGATGAAACTTGAGGACTTTCTGCTAAGGGATAACATAATACAAATACATGGTACAGCCACAAAAAAAACAAATACTGTATGATTCCACCTAAAGAAGTACTTAAAGAGTCAAATTCATAGGAACAGAAAGCAGAATGGTGGTTACCAGGGGCTGGATATGCGGGGAGAAGGGAATTTATTGTTTACTGAGTATAGCATTTCAGATTTGCAAAATGAAAAATTTCTAGACATCTGTTTTAAAATGGTGTGAATACATTTAACATTACTGAACTGTACACTTAAAAATGATTAAGACGGTAAATTTTATGTTATGTGTTTTTTACCACAATAAAAAAAAGTTTAGAAAAGTGATTTGTATTCCTATTTCATTCACTAAGAATTTCCTAAATGTCTAAATTCATTGGAATAAAGAGTTGTGTAAAGTTTCAAAAATGATTTCTAGGGTTGCTGATTTACATTTTAAAATTGAAAGTCATCTTAGTGTAGGAACTCAGATACACTCAACTCTGATGTATTTTTTTTTTAACCTGAGGGAGAATAAATCAGAAACTATGGCATTTCAACTGTTTAAAATGTTAAAAATGTAGGCCCCTATGTCCTTTTCCCCCAGAATTTAAAACACATTTCCCCTTTCTTTATTTCTTCCAAAAAATTAATGTAGACACAATGCATGCTCATTATAAAAAATAAAATCAAACAACAGAGAACTGTCTGGAATAAAAAGAAATTTTCCTGTGGTTTTTTCTACCACCTCCTCCCTATCCCACCATTAATTCATATGTTAGAGATAACTATTTGTATTCAATTCCTGTTTAACTATCTGCAGCTCTTTCCATTCAGGAAATTATATCCTTTTTTTTTTTTTTTTTTTTTTTTTTTTTTTTTTTTTTTTTTTTTTTTTTTTTTTTTTTTGAGGCAGGGTCTTACTCTCTCTTTCAGGTTGGAGTATAGTGGTGGTATGATCATAGCTCACTATAGCCTCAAACTCTTGGGCTCAAGTGGTCTTCCTGCCTCACTCTCCAGATTAGCTAGGACTACAGGTGCATGCCACTATGGCTTGATAATTTTAAGATTTTCTGTGGAGGTGTGGTCTTACTATGTTGTCCAGCCTGGTCTCAAACTCCTGGCCTTAAGTGATCCTTCTGCCTCAGCCTCTCAAGGTGCTATTAAGGTGTGAGCCACCACACTCAGCCAGGAAATTGTATTCCAATATTTCAACATCAGATTCACCTGATAAAGGCTTAAGAACAGTGGTTTTGGTTTTTGTTTGAGACCAAGTCTCGCTCTGTCGCCCAGGCTGGAGTGTAGCTGTGCGATCTTGATTCACTGTAACCTCTGCTTCCCAGATTCAAGCAGTTCTTTTGCCTCAGCCTCCCAGGTAACTGAGATTACAGGTGTATGCCACCATGTTTGGCTAATTTTTGTATTTTTAGTAGAGATGACATTTTACTATGTTGCCCAGGTTGGTCTCAAACTCCTGGGCTCAAGTGATCCACCGTCTTGGCCTCCCAAAGTGCTGGGATTACAGGCGTGAGCCGCCATGCCCTGCCATAACAGTGGTTTTGATCCCATGCTGGTAATAGGGTGATGAATAGTCAAAGAATATCTTCCTATGTATTGCTCACTGAATCAGTTCGTTGGTAAGCACTTGCTTATACTTAGTTCTGCCCAGCCTGAGCAAAGTATGCATGGAGATTCCAAGGAAATAAGAGCTATGGTTTTTGCTCTCAAAGAGCTTACAGTCTAGTTAGGGAACTAGCACACAAGAGGAAATAATGAACTATGTAAAATAGTATAAAAATAAACCTGTAAATGCCTTAATTTACAAAGTAGACTATACAATTGGTAAATCATGTATTAATCCAATTTCTCTTCAAATGGAAATTATGCTAATTTATAATCTTAAGAAAAAGATCAATGTGCTAATTAGAAGATTTTTTAAAATGTTGTTTCCTATTTTTCTGTTTCAGATTCTGTTGTAACCCTTTCCTATACCACATCAGGACTTTATACATCTCTGATATACAAGAACATGACCACCCCAGTGTATACAACTTTGAAGGGGGTAACTCATTATTGTTAATGTTAAAACATGTGCTTCTCTTCATGATGGATCAAGAAAATTGTTAATTCAGCTCCAGATTCCATTTTTAACATTTTACACAGGCTCTCCCTTTATAGAGAGTTTTACAAGTTCACATTACCATATCATAAAAAAGAAGCAATGGAAAGGTCTGAGAAGACACTTATTCTTATCAGAATATTAGAGGTCTGAGCCAGTTTTTACAGTGTCCCATGTGATTCCCCCACCTCCCCATGGCCATGAATTGTTTAAAGGAGACATACTATGAATAATGTAATGAAAACTCCTAATTTAGGCAGATCTTTGTATCAGTGCCAGGGTACCCCTTCCTTGCTTGAAGTATTAGTTAAAAGAAGGATTATCAAGTATTGACAACGTTATATTTTCAGGAATCTTTTATAATTGCTAATTAGAATTCGGGGTTTAACAACATGATTTTGATAACAGCAAAATACATTCCCAAATTCCTTTTAAAAATCATATGCTGGCCAGCCATGGTGGCTCACATATGTAATCCCAGCACTTTGGAAAGCTGAGGTGGGCGGATCACAAGATTGGGAGTTCAAGACCAGCCTGACCAACATGGTGAAACCCCGTCTCTACTAAAAATACAAAAATTAGCTGGGCGTGGTGGCAAGGGCCTGTAATCCCAGCGACTCGGGAGGCTGAGGCAGGAGAATCACTTGAACCCAGGAGGTGGAGGTTGCAGTGAACCGAGATCATGCCATTGCACTCCAGCTTGGGCCGCAAGAGCAAGACTCTGTCTCAAAAAAAAAAAAAAAAAAAAAAATCAGATGTTATGACTTCTTCCTGTTAAACTTTCTGTTATCTAAAGAAAGTGATAACCTCAGGGATGGATATGGGGAGGTTGCTCTGCTTTTCTTTAGGAGGCGACCCTAGTAACTAACAGCCCTTTCTTGGATGACTGCTAACATTAGGGATAGATACAAGCGGGTGGTTCTGCTTTTCTTTAGAAGGCGACCCAAATAAGTAACAGCCCTTTCCTGGATGACTCATCTGGGTCAGAGGAAGAAGACAGCTCCAGATCCAGCTCCCGGACGTCAGAGTCAGACTCACACAGTAGGAGTGGGCCAGGCAGCCCCAGAGCCATGAAACGAGGTGAGGGAAGATTGCAGGCATATGAGGCAACTCCAGATCATTCTGAATATTAATTGGGAATTTTATCTCTATAATAGGATATTTTTTAAATCAAAGAACTTGCTTCAGACCCTAGTGAAGAGAACTTTAGCCTATGACTGATACATTTATATTCTAGTCCTAATTCTCTTCTTAATTCTCTGTGATTTCCAACAAATTATATAGTCTTTTTCTTTTCTTTTTTTTAGCCTTATATTGTCTGTGAGAGGGAGATCACCTGATTGTTGGAATAAAGTGAGATAATTGGCCAAAATGAGGTTTCTCTCTTGGCATTTTGGATAGTTTGTGAAATAGACTTATTTCAGCTAAATTTGTTACACTGCTAACTGGCAGAAAATATACCTTAAAATTTGTCAATTAAACTGATGTTAGAGAACAACCAAAGCTTTACTTGGGATATGTCTATGATTTTTAGTGGATTTTAAAGAAATTCTGTGTGTAGGTAGCAGTTACAGAGAGATCTAATTGCACTAAATGGCATCTGTATTTTATAAAAGCCCCTAATGCAGCATGGTGTGTCTGTGGGTTTTCCAACTGTGTTTCATGGAACCTCTGGATTACAGAAATTAATTTAAAAGTGATTACAGAAATTAATTTAAAATGTGATTGTGAAAATCTCGATGAATTAAGGTTCAACATTTGTTTGCCTATTTATCAATGTGTAAATACACATATTTTAATTCTTAATAAAAGATACATGAGTAGACTCTTGCATATATTTTATATATGTAAAATAGCTGTGTGATTATAATCATACCAAAATATGATTCCTGTTCCTTTCACTTCCTTAGAGATTTACATGACAGTTTCTGCCCCTTAGTTCTATTTTCTGCTTTAAAAGTTATTCATAGCCAAAGGAATGAGAAAAAATCAAAGCTTCTAGGGAAGCTTTGATTCAGGAATAATTGCATTCTGTAGGAGCACTCAGAGCCGGTGTTGAGCCCTCCCCAGTATAAAATACTGACTTGATGTTTTTCTTTGTTGTCTTAGGTGTGTCTCTCTCCTCTGTGGCTTCGGAAAGTGATTATGCTATTCCTCCTGACGCTTACTCCACAGACACAGAGTACTCACAGCCAGAGCAGAAACTCCCAAAAACTTGCTCATCTTCCAGTGATAATGGAAAAAATGTAAATATTGAATCTGATTTTTAAAAATTAATGAGTCAGTCAGTTTGAGCCTACAAAAGGAAACTGAAAATAGTTGGGTTTTTTTTTTTTTTTATCTTTTAAAAATTAGGAACCACTGGAAAAATCTGGTTATTTATTAAAAATGAGTGGTAAAGTCAAGTCATGGAAGCGGCGGTGGTTTGTTCTTAAAGGTGGTGAATTACTTTACTACAAATCTCCGGTGAGTGGAAAATGTTTGCTGTTTAGAACATAATTCCTCAAACTATAAATCAGATGCCTGATTGATTTCCTTCTCATAATGCAAATAATGATACAAATAATTTCTTATGGTTACTGTTAAAGTTAATCACTTTACATTTGTTTTTCTTCCTTTCATACAGAGCGATGTAATTAGAAAACCCCAGGGCCATATTGAGCTTAGTGCATCCTGTAGTATTTTAAGAGGAGATAACAAACAAACAGTTCAGGTATTTAACTTTTTTTTACTCTTTTTTTTTTAATCCCTATCATGCCAAACTCAATTCTCAATTATCCACCTAATTGAAAGGAGATTGGATAATTCTGTGTTTCTTTATGCACTTTGGGGTTAGTTTGATGCCTTGAAAGTATGTGAAAGTCCAAGAATTTTTGGTTAAAACTATAAGTTACATTTGTGTTGGGTAACCCCCCCTACACTTTCTTCACCTTTCTTCCTTTATACTCTTCTTTCCTCATGTTTAATCTACCAGGTATTCTCAGCTGTCAGACTGTGAAGCTATTTTAAGGAAGAGCTATCTGGTAAATGAATTCTGAAGAAGATGTTAGTTATATAATGTACTATGAAATTCAGGAATATTTGTATTTAAATATAGAATCTGAAAATGACAGTTCTTTTTTTTTTTCTTTCCCGTGAGATGTCTGCCACGTTGGGTATCACAAACCTATCCTTTAGTGCAAGCATGTCCCGGTCCTGGGAGGCTTGAGAAGATCAGGAACTAAGGGAACCCAGGGGTAGGATTCTACTGAAAATAAACCGTCCTGCTGTCCGGTTGAGGGTCCTCCACTCACAGGATGTAGCCACAGGACAGCCACTGAGGGCCCTGGTAGAGGGGTGGCAGTGCAGGGAGGCTGGGACAGGGAGGGGTTGCCCCAGGGCAAAGGCAAGGCTGGAACTCCTCCCCAGCATCCTTCTGGGCCCCAGCAGGTGCCCAGTGTTACAAGTGAGAGGGCTGTCGGGGGTGGGTGGCAAGAGCCAGAATGATCCTGCCCCGACAAGCATTGCCAGGCGCTGGCCCAGTGGCCCAGGCCTTGGCAGCTAGCGTCTTCTGCTGCCTTCCCCCTGCTCTGTGCGGAGACATTCAGTGCGCTGGGGAGGCCTTGCTGGTGGCCCTCTCCACCCGCAGGTACCAGGGCTGGATGTGGGTCTGCTGCATCAGGTCATCGAAGGCATCCAGCCCCTCCATCACTCACTGGAAATGACAGTTCTTGTATGAACTTCAGATGCCACAACATTTAAGTGGGAAATATATTGGTGAGCAGAGGGACTGTGCTGCCAAGCAAGTCACCCTGTAGAGGTAGCTGCTGCCCATTTTACTCACACAGAAGGCCAGTCTTGCCAGAAGTCTGTTAACTTTAAAACACAGGCTGTTGAGATATTCTAGTATATGTAATTTAAATTCAGACACTTTATTTCTGAAATGTTTTCAATAACCATTGTTTTTCCATATTGCTCCTTTGGAGGGCGGAAGACAGCTTTGCCAGAAAGGTACATTATCAATGTTTCCAGTAAATGATACCTGAAAACCCCTCAAAAATTTAGAAAAGAGAATCAAGGAAAGTTTTGTCTTTGGGCATGGCAGTTAAGAATCATTTGTAAGCTTCTGAAATATTTGGAACATTTGCAGTGTGGCTAATTTGAGACTGGAAAATTGTGAGTTAATAATATCTAATCATATGCTTGTTCCAAGAATTTCTCTTCTTATATGCAAGATCTTCTCATTTTATTTATAATAGATTTCTTCATTTGAATTAAAAAACCTCTTCTTGGCCGGCTGCAGTGGCTCAAGCCTGTAATCCTAGCACTTTGGGAGGCTAAGGTGGGCAGATCGCCTGAGGTCGGGAGTTTGAGACCAGCCTGACCAACATGGAGAAACCCCATCTCTACTAAAGATATAAAAAATTAGCCGGGCGTTGTGGTGCATGCCTGTAATCCCAGCTACTCAGGAGGCTGAGGCAGGAGAATCGCTTGAACCTAGCAGGCAGAGGTTGCAGTGAGCCGATATTGTGCCATTGCACTCCAGCCCGGGCAACAAGAGCGAAACTCCGTCTCAAAAAAAAAAAAAAAAAAAAAAAATAGACAGACAAACAGCAACAACACCAACAAACACCAAAAACCTCTTGAATCATTCTGCTTCTCATTTCAATAAGTAGGAATCTGTAGCACATTTAAGAGAGAAAAGGAAAATGTGACAAATAAACAAGATACAAAGCCATAACCCCAAAGTCGAATACTATGAAAAGTTTTAAAGTAAACTGAAGTAACAAAATTATTTCAACTAAAATTTAATTGCTGTGATTCTCACAAAGTGGTTAAAATATTCTAAATGATACCATAGTCATTTATTTAGAACCTGCGAGTGGAGGTTTAGCATGTTTGCTTCCATGTTAAGTAATGATGTTTGAATAATGAACAAGGAAATGCAATCCTAAATCTTCACAATTTTCTTTCCCATGCCTTTCTTGTTGCATTCTAGTTGACCACTGAAAAACACACATACTATCTGACTGCAGATTCTCCTAATATATTAGAAGAATGGATTAAAGTGTTACAAAATGTTCTTCGAGTACAAGCTGCCAACCCACTTTCCCTGCAGCCTGAGGGCAAACCCACTGTGAAGGGATTGCTCACTAAGGTAGGAACCTCCTGTGCATAGCAATGCCCCAGGCAACTACGGGCATGAGCCCCATGATCACTGAGAATGGGATGTCAGAGAATATATATAATGAATATTTAGGTGATCTAGGGGACAGGGAAGGGTGTTTTAAAGTATGATGCCCAAGACAAAAACTATAAAGATGAAAAGTGACAGATTTGACTATAATATGTAGAAATGTAAAGACTCTATTAAAAAAAAAATCTATGAGCAGAATTTTATAAGGAAGGATTGAAAAAGTTTGAAGAGGTTTTTGGAACATGTGAAAACTGGTTAATATCATTAATATTTAACACTTTTTTTCTAATCAGTATGCAAACAGTGAATACCAACTTGGGGGAAGGGAACCAAGGACTCAATGGGAAAGGAGTAGAGATCATCGAGGTTGGAAGGAATACAAGTGATCAATAAGCATTTGGAAAAACATTTTACTGTCACTCAGAATTTTTTTAAAAAGCACAGATTAAAATAATAGGTGCCACTTTTTAAAATCTGGTGAAAGGTAAAACATTTTTACAAATTTTGAAACCTAGTATTGACACAGATTAAGAAATCTGCTAGTTTCTGCAATTATAGAGGCAATAGAAAAAAAGAAGGAAATCTGCTAGTGAGAGTATTACTCTAGAAGGCAGTTTGGCAATGTCTTGGCTGAAGTGTTAACTCAGCCAATAATTCTGAATGAACAAATCAATGTTAAATATTTTAAAAACACACACACACATGTACACATATACATATGTCTTTTGATCTAGCAGTCTCAGTTTTTAAAAATGTATTCTGAGGAAATGGTTTTAATTGGCAAAAGATTTAATTATGAGATATTCCTCACAGCATTTTTTTTCCTGTTTTAAAAAATGAGCTATAATTAATGTATCTGAAATGCACAGATCTTAAGTATAGAGTTTGATTAGTTTTAAAAGCTATTTAATGTGACTTTGCTAAGATACAAAACATTTTCATTACCCCAGAAAGATTCCTTGCACAGCATCATTCATAATAAAGAAGAATTGGGATCAACTTAGATGTAGGGTAAGGTATAGCTGTGTACAACCATATAATGCTTTACTATGCAGCCTTTTAAATGTTGAAAAAGAATATCTAATGCTATAGAAATATGATGTATTAAGTGAGGAGCACAGTATTACATTATTATTCCTTATTTGTTCTAAGTATTTATAGAAAAATGTCTGAATGGGAAGTATACCAAGGTATATTGGTTATCTCTATGATTTTATTTTATTTTTGCTTAATTCTGTGTTTTTTTTTTTACAATGAATAAGTATTGACTTATACTTAACATTATTTTTAAGTTTTAAAAAGTCCTATTGGTCACTTTTAAAAAAAATACAATAAAATATTTATACACACATAGTCACTCCTCATTCGTGTACTCTGATTATGTAAGAGACGAAAAATTAGATGGAAAGGAATTATGCTACTGTGTAGTTTATTCTATTAATAATGTGGGAATGTAGGTGGGAGCTATTCCATAATATTTAAAAGGACTGACCAATTATAGCAAAGGTAAAAAATAATTCACCATTGCATTAAACAAAGAGATATACTATCACTGTGTTTTTTCTAAAATATGACTATGAAAATGTTTTCTTAGTTACTGATGGGTTAGGGAACGAAATATTTGCACAGGACTTTTCCTGTGAACACAGTGCTACTTTAAATCACATTCTTACTATAATTCATAAAAAGAGCTGTGCTTCTGTTTCAAGGACCACATATGTATATCAAATCCTAAGAATTTAATATGATCGCATGGCTAAAGGTTTATTACTTCTTCCACAATTAGGTTTTTTGTATGCTTGCTTGTTTCATTTTATTAGCATGGCATGTCAGTTTCTGCTCCTGTAACATTTCTGCGATTCTCCACTTCCCATTTCACAATTGCGTTTTAAAAGAGTATATGAGTTGATGGGATTCTCAGATGACCAAATTATTAGGTTTTACACACAGGATGCTTATTAAGTTCCCTTCCTGCCATTTGTGCTTGTCCACCCCATATTTTCACCCTCAGAACCTTATGGGAGAACAGCTTCCCTCAGTTATTCTGAGTGACTTGTTTTGACTCACATTCAGGCTGTAATATGAGATAGTATAGAATTGCATTTGAATAACTTGGAGGGGAAGAAGTTTTTTCAGGTTGTCACATATTAAGTACAGAATAATCTAGGTAGATACTAAGAACATGACTAATTTGATTCTAGACATTCACTCTTGCAATTTTTATTTTAATGCTTAAGGACATTTTCTATATAAAAATTAAGTTACTTAAAAACAAAAATGTATTATGCAGTTACCACATTGCAGCACAATGTGCTGAAAGATAGTAACATGAATAGGCCATTGTCCCATTCCTCCGAGAGCCTTATAATCTACCAAGAAAGAGGGAGACAAAAGCTTATTTATAATGATATATGTAAGGTTCAATTATTGAAATGTGTCAGGAATGACGTCTGAGAGAAGATTTACCTGTGCTGAGTCTTCAAGGAGGAGTAGGAGTTAGTTATACCACATGGGAATGGGCAGAAGGGTACCCCAGACTAGGAGACACCATGAATGAAGGCTTAGAGTCTCAAAGCAGTGGCTTATCCCTGTAATCCCAGCACTTTGGGAGGCCAAGGTGAGTGGATCACCTGAGGTAAGAAGTTTGAGACCAGCCTGACCAACATGGTGAAACCCCGTGTCTACTAAAAATCAAGTGTGGTGGCAGGCACTTGTAATCCCAGCTACTCGAGAGGCTGAGGCAGGCAAATTGCTTGAACCTGGGAGGTGGAGGTTGTAGTGAGCTGTGAGAAAAAGCTAGAGGGGCCTATGGATGGTGGAGAGCTATTTTTGTCTTTTTAAGGACTTAAGTCTCTATCCTGAAGACTGTTCGAAACCCTTTGGGTTTGTAACAGGGGTATGGGCATATTCATGGTGCTAACAGATTACTCTGCTGAGAGGAAGATGAATTAGTGGGAGGCAAGGTGGAGGTTCTAAGAACAGTTAAGGAATTTGTTCCCATGAAGAGGATGAGACTCTGAAGGGATTGCAGGAAAAGAGGAGAGGATGAATTTAAATAATTTGGTTTGATTGAATTTGGGGTTAGGAAGTAGAAGAGATAAAGATGCCAGGTAGAAAGATGATAGCAGGTAAGAGAGAACTCAGGAAAGAGGAGCAGTTTTCAGAAGATGGGAAGGTTATTTTGGAAGACATCAAGAGCTCCTGAGGATGTCTTAGTTGAAGTCCAGCAAGCAGCAGAACACCAGAACATCAGAGGAGAGAGATGGAGGGCTAAATTGGAGAGAAGACTTCTGGGAATCATTAGCATACATGTGGCAATTGTGTAGGGCAGGGGAGAGCAGGGGAATGCTTGGAAATTTAAGGGCATAGTAAGGAGATGTGTGCAAGAGACCTGAGAGTAACGCCTATGACCAGAAGGGATTGTGTGTCACATGTGCTCAGAGGAGAAGACACATTGCCTTCAGTGGGCTAAAGGGTAAACGGGAGACTAATAAGTGAAGTATTTGAGTTTGAAGGACTGTCTCTACCTTTCAGTCCATTAGAATCAAGCTAGAGGGAACCTAGAGTCAGGAGAGGCATTTTTTAGGATGGGAAAGATATGCCTTGAGTTTACAAACTAAGGGGAAGACAGTTGAAAGAGGGGAGGACTGAGATTAAAGACAACGTGCAGAAGAAGTGGGTGGCTGGATGCGGTGGGAAGGCACACTGGAAGGGCTGAAACCAGAGGAAAGGTGAGGAAGGGTGCAGGTGAGTACCTTAAGTTTGTGGGACATTGAGTGACAGCATGTCTAATACCCTCAGTTTTCTCAATGAACATTATTCTGTAAGACAATGTTATTTACTAGGAGTGGGGAAAAGGATGGAGAATAATCATTCAGGAAAGTAGGATATACCCTAGGATAAATAGAAGGCTTGATAAGTGTTATTGAAGGCCCACCAGACTTTCTGATTTGAGTTCATATTGGTTATTTTTCTCTAACATCTTCAGATGCCCAGAAATAGGAGCAGAGGATTTACATTGTGCTGAACTGAGGATAGTGATTTTTTTCTAACATTTTATTATGTAGATTTTCAAATATGCAAAAAAGCAGAATAATTTTACAGTGACCACCCATATTCCCATCACCTTGTTTCTACAATCACCATTTTGCTTGCTTTACCACATATCTATCAAGATGATATTTGAAATTAATGTTTTATTATGAGAATTGCCAACATATCTGAAAATAGAGGGAATAATATAATGTGCCCTCATATATTCATCATCCAGTTTCAACAGTTATTACCCACTGTAACTTTCTGTCTCTGGCCACATTCTTCACTGGATTATTTAAAAGCAAATGGAGATGGAATTTTGTTAATTTGTTAGACGCATAGGAATACAGCATAATCACAGGTCCCAGAGCAAGAGTTGTTTCATGATGAAACATGGAATTCCAGGTTGGCAGAGAAGCTGTGGGTCCAGGAGGTAACTGATAAGCTAGAATAAAATGGAAGGATCAAGGGGCTTAAAATTATGAATGAGGTCAAAGAATAAGTGTGTGGGCAAGTGCAGTGGCTCATGCCTGTAATCCCAGCACTTTGGGAGGCAAAGGTGGGAAGATCACTGAGGTCAGAAGTTCGAGACCAGCCTGGCCAACATGGTGAAAGCATATCTCTACTAAAAATACAAAAATTAGCCTGGGATGGTGGCGTGTGCCTATAATCCCAGCTACTTAGGAGGCTGAGGCAGGAGAATCACTGGAACCTGGGAGGCAGAGGTTACAGTGAGCCAAGATCATGCTACTGTGCTTCAGACTGGGCAACAGAGTGAGACTCCATCTCAAACAAACAAACAAACAAAAAACAGGAATAGGAGTGTGGTAAGTGAGAGGGGGAGGGAAGTAGTAGGAACTGGGAGGAAGTTGTGATCAGAGAATAGAAAGTAAATTGCAGAAATGGAGCAGTTCCCAGTGAAGAAA